TATGCTTAAAATATGAATATGTAGTGTCCGACAAGACATGTATAAAGACTTCATTTAGTCCTCTTATTTTACTTTCTATTGTACCTCCAATTATATTTATTAGCAGGGCAGTTATTATCATTAACTCGTATTTTCGATCCATTTATTGCGCACTTTGATAAATATGTTACGTCCGTCTGTTGAGACAATAATTCGCATGTAAATTTAACTTATTAAACACGTCTACAGTGAGTGAAGAAACGTACAGATACGTATTCTTCTTGGAACGTAAAAAAAATTTAGCGCATTCCGTTTTTTATTCAACAACTTACTGTGCGCAGGAAATAGTACATATTTAACTGAATCTTAACACAGGTATGTAACAGAAATACGAGAAAAACAAAAAATTGTCTAGTAATATTTATTGACTAATGCCATTATTGGTGAAATAAAAAAAATCTTCTAACTTTTCGTCATTTATTACATTTTGATTCGATAAATCTTTTTTTAAATATTTGAAATTCATGACTTTTCAAAGGATGGTTTCTTTTTTAAAGATATTTTATTAAAAATCATCTGTTTTCGATTGGAAGTTCAACAAATATCAAAGATTTAAATTCTTTATTATCACGATAATTGTTACGATACTGTAATAAGTATATTAGAAACGCTATGTATAGCTAATCCTTTTCTTCTAACGGTGCATTTATATAATGTTCCTGTTTGAAGTAGGAAATATCGTTTATTTCTAAACGATCGACAATAAATTTTGCAATGCATATTTTTTCTTGCCCACTGCATATTCAAATTATTCCCTTTGATAAAATCAATTATTACGAGGTAGCAAGATTATATCATTAACAATCTTCTGCGATAAACTTGATATACGTTACACATAGTTTTGTTTTAAGATTTTACAGATTCATTTTGCTTTTTCCTTACTATTTCGATTTATTTAACCTCTTTTATTCGCATTATCATTTATGTCTCGGCGAAGCGATTGACTGTACTCTACAATGTGATACAGGTGCACAGTGCAATATGTACGTTTTAATCATTCGCAAATGTTATCGTTATCATCGTTTAATATTAATGCAGCGTAATATATAGGATAATAATTACCATTACTTGAATTACTATTATTTTTACTATCTTTAAAATTTATGTAATAAATTTTCGATTATTCGAATGCCCAAATGACCATACGCTAGATTAATTGGACATTATTAAAGAGCATTAGAATAATCAAATACTTGATGAAGTAGCATTTGAATAATTAAAGGGATTCTATTGTGTTTTATATATATATATATATATATATTGTATAAATATAAATCTATATTTATACAATTATATATAAAGCATATGTTAGTCATGTATAATATAGCGTCTGCATTATATATATAGAAATTCATTATAAAATGGAACTTGTTTCCAAAATTGGCTGTTTTATCATCGTAAGTATATAACCGAATTTTTGTGAGTGAATTTCTTTTTTTTCCGGACAATATCAACAGTATACATAATATATACAACGATCGATAATTCTAGGTTAGTAATAAAATCCTGAAATCGTGTTGCAGTTCGAATATTCGAATTAGAATAATGTCATCCTTGTCTGTCCCCATGAGTCACATTTATACGGTTCCAACTTCTTCTGGATCATAATTTTTAACTCTCTTGTTGTACGCAATGATTTCCTGCGCATTAAAAATCTTATTGTTAAATTTGCAAATGTCTCGCGTGTAAAAATAATCTATTACCCACACATTAATGGAAATTCAAGAAATACATTAAATAAATTACAAATGTTTCAAACATGTTTTGTCACAACATACTCTTTCATATCGGGCTCTATCTTCCTCCGCGATGGCCATATATTTGGATTTCGTCTGTAGATCCGTGCTCATCCATAATTTTCCTAATTCTTTCGCGATATCACCTACGCCCATCTCAGGATGTAATTCTCTCATCTTGCCACGCAGCTCTTGGCAAAAGTAGAAAAACGCAGATCTATAACATATTGACGCAAAGATATGTTAAGTATCATAAAAATTATTTAATTCATTAAACATTTTTTTCAAATCAATAAAATATATCAGAGCATGTATATCCCAATTAATCATTAAAACAAATTTAATATTATAATTTATGCAAATGTCTTTTTCCTAATGTTTCTAAAAAAATGTGTTTAATAATATGAAATTTAATATACAATTCTGTCAAATGTCATCTGTTTACAATTTGACGTACAGTGCTCGTTTTGGTGCATCCTTGTCCCTATATCTCTTTGTTCCTCTACGTGTCGGTCTCTCAGGTTCTTCGTGTCCAGTATAGTGTCTATCGTAATAGTACATTTTCTTATTGTTGCAATGTGCATTACCATCTTCAAGATGTACAATCTACAAAATGTTATTGATTTAATATCAAAATATATATTTCAACATTTTGATTGAGACACTTGATACATTCTTCAGATTATCTTCAATTAGATGTGACTCTAAGTCAAGTAAATTTATACTCTATGAATTTCTTTTTAATTTACAAAGTCTCTTTTTGCATAATTTAAGTTTATTGATTTAAGCGCTGTTGATTTTCGCACCTCGTTTTTTACTGGCACTGCATTGATAATGAAATTTTTACCCTGGCCACTACTGGACCATTTTGCTTGATTGGTAGAAACGTTGGATACATTATTGGGCTTCATCACACCTTCACCACCACATTCTACAAAAAGAATACACGAGTTAGAATACATAGTATGTCCACATGGCAAGTTTTCTTACACCTACATACCTGGTGCCATATTAGTCTGACCGACGATCATAGTCTCCCTCATTCCAGAATTTAAAGAATTGTCGCCAGTTTTCGTAAGATATACATTCTTCCTGTCTGACGATTCCATGACTGCCTTATCTTGCCTGGTTTAGAGATCGTAGCACGATTTATTAATAACAATCAATCTGTCAATAATAATAATAATAATATTGAATTATTTCTTTTGCACATGAGAAAGAATGATTTGCATATCATAACTCGCATAGATGTTACAATGAAATTCACAATATACAAACAAAAACGTTTCCAAATGGCATTAAATTTTCAGATTAATCTAAAATAAATATTTACACTGTATTCAGAAGAATCATAAAAATTCAAAAACAAACTTTTCCTCTGTTGAATTGTTTTTACTCCATTTATTAATTATCCATATTGAGCTGTTAATTACGCAGGGATCATCGAGAATTTTAATAGCGACAGAAAAAAAATAACCGATCTTTCTCTTATTATTTTCGACGCTCGTTCGGCGTTCATAATCTTTATCTTTTTTCTCTTTCTCTTTCCTATAGACATTCAAGAAGACACTTACTTCCAATACAAAAAAAAAGAATATAAGACGCGGTTAAAAGAGATATAGATCTAGAAGAGATACAGTTGATACATTGTCAATACACGCGACGTCCCTCCTTTCCCTTCGAACTATCGAGTGATCACGAGAATCATCACGAATTGTGAATATAAGTTTTTCTCTTTCTCTTTCTCTCTCTCTCTCTCTCTCTTCTTTCTCAGACGCCAGGCTGATCGACTCCTACTTTTACAAGTCTCGATCTTATCGCCAGAGTACACGCGACTAATTTACATAACATCATCTATTTCCCAAATTTTACTTGGCGAAGCTGAGAGGCTCACGAGAATCGCGTCCGAGCTCTCTCGGCGTCGTCCGGTCGCACGATAATCACTTACCAGGCGTCGCGAACGCAACACGCAACGCAAGCGGAAGCGAGAGGAGGAGGAGGAGACAGAAGAGGAGGAGGAGTTGATGGTGGAGGCGGCGGCGACGGGTCCGCGATCGTGAAAGAAATGGCAAGATCAGCGATAGGAGGAAGATAATAGGAGAAGAGAGAAGGAAGAGGAGAAGGCGGCGGTGGTTACCGGACTAATCGGACTCGATTTCACGGATACCGAGATTATCAGTCCTTCGCGATGGTGACGATCGTGTATTCACGCAATAAGACACACACACACACACACACACACACACACACACACACACACACACACACACACACACACACACACACACACACACATACACACACACATACATCGTTCGAGAAAGAGAGAGAGAAAGAGAACAGCCGGGGGAGATCCGAGAGGATCGGGATATGATACAGATGCCGTGGCGTGGCGTACGCATTGTTGTGTTCGCACACGAACGCAACGTGTCGTCACGTCCACGGTGGAGCGCGTCGCAGTACTCGCAGTACCCCAGGTGTTCGCTCATACACGCGGTTATCGTATCTCTCGCGACCGACCCGACGATTCCCCGCCGTCCATCCCCCCCCCGTGTCCCCGCGGCGCTCAGCGACGTCGCACGTTGCTAACCGCGATAATCGTCGTCGGCCGTCGCGACGCGTCAACGCCGTATACGCCAGCTGTAAAAGTGATTACCTCTCTGCGACTCGCAACTATGCGAATGTCGCGATATAGGATCGCGACTCCACTCGTTTTCTCGATGCCCCGGCCGCGGACTTTCGGAAACACCTCGCGGAAAAACACTCCTTTCCTATAACAGCGCCGTTCCTTATCGCCGCGCTGGACGGCACTGAAAACTTTCCTCCTCTCGCTCTCGCCAAACCTCAAATGTACGTCTGTTTCTTTTTATGCTATGACGAGAGCGTACGCTGAGTAGTCGATCGCAAAGAACAGAATTTTTCCTCACCTATCCGAGAAATATTACTAGCATAGAGTTATCGAAATCCCTAGGAGGCGGACATTCGTATTGGACGTTGACACGGAGCCATCGACCTGAAGTGCCTCTTCGCGGCACTCGATGACGAGGATCGATGCTTTTAGGGAAGGACAAAAGAATGAGTAGAATAACTGGTATAAGTTTAAATTAATTTTGAAACTTTGATAAAAATATTGTTTTTCTAAAATGAAAAAAAACGTAACGAATGTTACGAATAATATTTCAAGATTAATTTTTATAGCTGCGATGAGCAAAAAGAAAAATAATTTTTTCACGCAATTCGAATTTAATTGAGGAGCTCCGATTCCTAAGAGATCCTTTGTTTTCTCGGTTTTCGCATTTATCGCTGAGAGTGCGGTCCATTTGCTGCTACAAATGCTTCGAAATATTTGTTTAACCAATCAGAATAAAGAATTTTATGAATTGACCAATCAAAAAATACTTCGAAGCATTTATAGCACTAAGTGGATCGCACCCTTGTATGCACCGTGAAGGAAGGCGCGAACGGCAATCGGCTTTAATTTCTTGACGCCATTATGTGATTTTGAACCAGTATTCTTTCTTTTTCTACGGAAGAATAACAATCGATTCGATTGATCAAGTTAAACATATACAAAAGTAAATTTCAATACCACGTATATATTTTCCGTTTTAAGATGAATATTCGCCACAAAGATCAGATACGTCGCATTTGAATGTACGATCACTTAAATAATTTGATCCGATTGTTTCAGCGTCTCACAAATGGATGGATTAATCTGTAACAAGTGCTTCACTCCAATGTACAGAGGGAAGCAGCCATACAGCATCACGCAGTGTGGTCACGTCTGCTGCCAGAATTGTTTGCAGCGCGGTAAAACTAGTAGTAAAGTTCGACGTTATGCTTAACACCCTTTACGATTTCGTAGTCTCTATCTTTGATCTTGCAACTTGCAGTTGAGAAACAGTGCCCGCAATGCGAGCGCGTCGACACCGTGTCGTTGCCGCTGACGGAGCCGTTGCTACCGAAGCTGGCCCCGTACTTTCAGCCGTTCGCCGAGAGTCTAGAAATGCTTTTAAAAGTGGAAATGTTCCGCAACACCCAGATGAAGATATTGATGCAACGCTTTCATGATCTTGTACATAAAATCAGTATATACTTCCCTCATTTCTATAATCTGCCATTCTTTTTAATCTTATTTGTTTTAATTTTTTCTAGCCAGTAAAAAAAATTTGCTCATATGTAATTATAGAATATGTCTACATATAAAAAATATATAATCACATATGATTATACATAATTTTTATCATGAACGTATCCGGGAGGATTGGGGGGGGGGGGTTTAAACTCCCTTCCGAAATTAAAAAAAAGTTAAAATTATATATTATATGTAAATGTACCTTGCTTATATTTCTATTATATCTTTTTTCTAAATTTTCAAAATGATGGTGCGCTTCAAGGACAAGAAATATGAGGTACTGAAGACCCGATACTGGACGAAATGTCGCAATCTGCAAACGTTAACGGAGAAATATATAAATTTGAAGGCCGAGAAGGAGAAATCTGATAAAAAGTTACGGTTCTCCGAAATACAGAGAAAAACTCCGCAATCCTCGTACCGCATCATGTCGACACCTACGGATTCCGGTATTTCTGAATTACCGTCGAGCGCAGGGTAATAAATGATAGTTTTATAAAATGTAAATGATTAATAGTGTGTGTGTCTGTGAAATAATATTTCCTCGTTTTCGTTACTGTTTGCAGATATTCTTTGAAGTCGGAATTTTTGAGACCTACCAATGTAACATCCATGCAATCGACTGATCAGAATACAGCATATAGAACTGTTGATGGTTTTCTTGTACCCGTTAAATATAATCATTATAAATCTTTAAAACCCAATTTCCTAAATATGTCTTAAATTTCATAGGACAAACTTTTTTCTTTGTTTATTCTTTTCTCATATTATCTCGAGTTCGTCGTATCATCTTATTTAATAAACGAAAGTACAGATTTCACTCGTAATTAACAAGCGATAATCTCATCGAATATCACAAAATATAAAACATATGACGCATTATAAAAACGCGTTTTTATTATTCAGTTTTGATAAAGATCATTTTATGTTTTAATTTAACGAGTCAGAATATGAACTTTAGTTGTAATAAAGAACGACGATCTTGTCAAATGTCGTACGAGAAAAACATGAATTGTTTTCATTATTCAATTCTAATGAAGATTATGTATTATGTAAACTTTTAGTTTAATATATGGTTTCTCTTAATCAAGATACGTTATAACTTTCTTTTTTAAGTTTTGTAATTCACTAGCTGAATATGCATTCGATCTAAACGCAACATTTAAATATGTTTTAAGATTTTTACGGATCATTTTGATCGTATGATTTTGTTTATTTTTTTTCTGTTCTTTATGAAAAAATAACTGCTATTGCCTAATAGTTGTATATTATATCATTTTTTATCATCATATTAAGTAATTTCTGAACATACATAGATGAAATGTCCGATTCGATTTCGTATTTAAATCCATGTTTTGAATTTAAAGCGACGTTCGATCGGTAAGATAGGCAGCAATTTTTACGCGATAGAAACATTTGCGGCTTGCAGAATTCCGACGCAAACCAAGTTTAGATTCGAATAACGACTTCTATGATCAGTTGATTGATTTATTTTACGATTTACTTTTCGAGCATCGTACGATTGAATTTATCGAAAGATATATGATTACACATCCACAGGTCTCGTGCGAGTACTTCTAACGCGAGTATGGTATGTAATTCTGCTCCATGGCAGAGACAAGTGATAACGAAGGTGATGCATCCTGTTTTGATGACAGCACGATGGACAATAAATTAAATGACGATTTTTCAAATGTTTTACAGGAGGTAATTAAATAATATTTAGTAATAGTCAATAGTTACGTAGGTTAGAATGCTAAACATTGTTGTGTGAAGAAACTGCAGTTTATATATATTATGTTTTTATATATTATGTATCATATGCAAAGCAGAAAAATTTTTTGTGTTGAAACAACACAATATATTCAATATAATTTCGTTTATTTTCTTTTCTGTTTTCTTTATGAAAAAAATAACTGCTAATATCTGCAGATAATATCTATTAAAACAGAAGATAGCGTTTTACAAGAGGTATCAGAACGTATCAAGTCCACTGCAAAACTAAACAATTCGCGTGAAACACAAAAAAATGATGCTGAACTGGATGTTGAAATTAATAACAAAGATAATCAAAGAACAGAGTTGCAAAAGCAGGTTGAAATTGGAGAAATTACTCCCTTTGAAGCAGTATTTAAGCAGTCAGTTTTGGAGCAAAAAGAAGGGTATAAATATTATAAAATAAATTTATTTTATTTTTAATAAATTATATTATAAATAATAAGATAAATTAGATTATTAACAAAAGAATCATTATATTTAAATTAAAATTTTAAATTTAATAATTTAATAGATTTAGTAATTTAAACTAATATAATAGTTAATTATAATTTATGTTTTAGAACTGCTAGTAAAGGTTCCCAATTGTTAGATCTCGAAAAGTACTTTAAACAACAAGCTGCTCTTGCTGAACAAAAAAGAAAATTAAAGAAAGTATCCAAGACACCTTCTGATAAAGATCATTCAATACCGGTTAAAAAAGCAAAGCTATTTAATATTGATCCAAAAACGAATAAAAAATGTCAAAGATCCAAACATGAGAGCAATAGAGATAACATTCTACAAAATATAGACAAGGCAGGTTCCTCCAACATAGCAAATGAATCTACTTGCAACAGTTCTGAAAGCGAATATGTTCCCAGCGATAATGAAGCGTATTCTGGTAATAATGTTATTAATATTTAATATGTTTAGATAAAGGAACACTTATATTTAACGAGAAGTACTTTTTAGATGCAGAAGATAAGGTATTATCTAAAAAAAGAAAACTGTGATTAAATCAGGATACACTCGTACAAAAAGAAGTATATAGTATTGCTTGTAATAATTAACATATTTATTGTTTTTATTGTAACTTTATTACTTTATAAATTTATCTAGCTCGAGATGACGGGGATAATCAATTATTTAAACAAAGAGTAGAAACAAACATCTATCCTAAAGATGAAGCAATGCACAAAGTTGATACTCTCTTTAAAGTGCCACAAAGTATTTGGGAAAAATTATACAGGTATATGTATTATTTTTGTCTATAGTTTATATCTATTAAATGTATATATGCATAAAATGCATTTTTTTTAATTACTTTGTCCAGGTATCAGAAGGTCGCGGTTCAGTGGCTCTGGGAATTGCATGGACGTAAACTAGGCGGCCTGTTGGGTGACGAAATGGGATTAGGGAAAACTGTACAGGTTATTGCGTTCCTCGCGGGTTTAGATTGCAGCGAATTACTTTCTCATAATGGAAGGTATTATATGTATTTTTTAACTGAAATGTATCTTATATTTGACATAAATTTATATCAATGTGTGTAGAATTTATAAAATATGTTTTTCTTGAAACATACAAACTTTTGTATCATTACTCTTATTATTTATTTTATTATTATATCCAATTAAATATGTATTTGAAAAATAAATACGCACGACTAACAGATACAGAGGATTAGGCCCGACTATTATTGTATGTCCTGCTACTTTAATGGAGCAATGGGTAAAACATTTTCATG